TCTAATTGAGTGAAATTTTGATAATTTATAAGTTCTTCAATAGACACATCAATTTACTAAAAGAACAAAACAAAATACGATTAATGAAAATAGATGCTAGTTACATATCTAGCAATGACAATATTCAAATAACACATTACCCTCTTCCGAATAGTTACTACTATCCGGTTCTTCTGTGCCTAATGTAGATTCTTCAGTTTCTCTAAAACATAAATTAAACCAATGTAGAAATTTAAAGATTTCTGAAATGACCGAAGAATAGTTTAAACACTGATAAATAATATTTTCTACTTACACATCGTCTAAATCTTCTGTAAAATGTTTCTCATATTTTATCCCGTCTAATTTTTCAGGGAATATTTCTTCGGCATAAATAATAATGTATTTAATAACAATATTTATACAATTTTGACTAATAACGGGATCGTAATTATCTGGAATATTTATGATGGATGGTCCAAAACAAACAGCTAAATTATTAGCATCCATCATATTTTCGTCGGCGTAATCACTCAGGCTGAAACATAGATTACAATTTAATTTAAATGTATCTCTTTTATATTTGCATGTAGATAAATAATACTTACTGGTTAAGAAACGAAAATAAATATCGTAGCACGATAATTATAGATTTTGGTAAAGTGGAAATTAATTCTTTAATTTTATAATAATGTCATTTGGAGAATTATTTTTCGAAATATCTATTAATTTTTCAAAATAAATTAAAGGGAACAGAGGTTCCCTTAATTCTCTAAGATATAGTTTTAATAAACCCGCAACTGAATTAATATCTGATGCATCGGTAATATAAGCGAGAGGATCTTCTCCTCGCTCAAACGATTCCTTGAATTTATAAATTTCGACTTGTGAACCGGATACACGAAAAATACCCTGATGATGCATTCCATATAAATTAATAATTCGTATACAGCTTTTAATAATAAGAGGTATTTCCTCTTTAGTTGAATCTAAATATTCCTCTAATGATCCTCCAAATAATTTAGTTTGTTGGTTTATTTGTAAGCGGCCAATTTTCCTGCGCGTTTTTTGTCTAATCATTGCAGCAGTTGGAACAGTCATACTGTCATTGGAATCTAGCAAGTGTTCTTTAATAAAATCCTGTTTAGCTTCTAGTCGTGCTATTTTTGATGTTGCCAATAAATATTCCCTAAATTTCTGTAACAAGAGATATGAATATATTAATATACGATAATCACTTATTATATTAATCGTTATTTATCAGATTTTAATTTAATGACATGAGAAACAGCTCACAAGCTATGAAAATTTTATATGTCAATATTTCTTCTATTCACACAAATGTCTTTGAAAGAGTGTAAATAATAAACGTTTTGGTTGATCAAAATTTTAATATTTGGAATACAATAAATTAAATGTTCGAAACGCAAAAATTGTCCACTTAGATAAAAAATATTAATATGTCACTTGAGAAACTTTAGACTTATAAATTGAGATTTGTGATTACTGGAGTGATGTTGCATATATACCTAGATGTCATAAGTTATGCGTACTCGTTGACAGTGATATCGCAAGCAACGATGTCATTAGAACAAAAACAAAGAAAATGAGGAAATTAAAGGAAGTGGAATATGTATAAGGAGAATATTGGATTCACGAGTGTTGTAATGAAAGACTTTGAATTCTCAGACATTTGTGTAAATGAAAAAAATATGTATTGACATATAAAATCTTGTCTTAGCTTTTGAGTCATTTCTCATGTCATTGAATTTTAAATTGTATGAGTTTTTTATATTTATTATATTTTAATAAATTTTTATAGAACAGAGCGTAATCTAATTTAAATTATTTGTCTAATTATTTTTAATTGTGATTTAAATATAAGCAAAACAAATATTTTTAATATCAACTATACACATTTAATTTCTTACATTTTGATTATTTTCAGGAAGAATTCTTTTGTATTTTGTCTATAATGATTTTTATTACGGTAAGTCAGAAATTATCCGCAATATCCGAATTATGTTTTAATTGAAAAAATTGTGGAGAATCTTACTTTCGTCGAAATAAAAGCAATAGAAACAATCTTAATTTTAAACGTGCAATAATTTTAAATATTTATTATATTTCCAAATTTTTCTTTTCAAACATTTTAATGTAAAAGTTATTTTATTTTAGAAAAATTATAGATTGAAGTACCAAGCACAATGTGTTTTTGAACTATTTGTTTACTTGTCTCTACACACATTTCCTCTGTTCTTTGAGTATAAATGCGATGATCAATATACTATTGCACAACTGTGCCGTTCGCTCGCAAGAAAAAAAAAGAAAGTCTTGTATTACTTACAGTGAGATAAAATTCTTCGGTTTCTTGTTTGTCAGCCCGTAATTTAATTTGCAGTGTCTCTGGCGGCTTAGATGTCGATGCCGCATTTTCACCAAAATATTTGGTGCAATCATCTTTCGTAGTTTGCATTTCAAGTAAACTTTTTTCGGTCGTTTCAAGGGTCTTGTATACTTCTTCCGACTCTATTCGTAGTGTTGTTACTCTGCTCTGCAGTTGCTGTAGCCGTTGCTCCATTTCCGTGCGCAACAACTTTTGTAATTCGGGTTCTGTATTCTACAAAAAAAACAAATAAATCAATAAACTGTAATTTAATAGCGATAACAGCCGTGAAAGATTTGATAAACAAAATTCATAAATATTTTCGAAATAAATTTCTTTTTATTGTTATATTTGAGATATATGTTTTGTTGCTTTATTGTTTTATTTTCTTTCTATATTATGCAAATTATTATAAATAAATATTATACTGTAACATATATGTTTTTAGCATTATAGAACATAACATAAAAAAATGAATCATATATAGAATAAAAAACACAATTAATTAAAATAAAATTAAAAATTTAAGTATGTAAATTAGAGAATGATAAATTAAGAACTTAATTCAAACTCGGCTTGTACCTCGTGTTCATGGCCTTCAAACTCAAATTTTCTTGGAATCATAAAGGCCGTATTGTATGACTCCAAAAACTTTTGTTTATCGCCACGTGAATCCAAGGAATTCACCGTAGCGCCCAACATATCAGCGCTAGATTTTAACGAAAAGCGCCTTCCTTCTTCTGCGCTGAGGTGCATATGTAATGCTCTCGTAAGACAATTATGGAATCCGAAATCCATGCACTGCAAGAAAAACAGACAAAGTTGAATTTTTTTTCATACACTTTTTTTCATTGATACATCTTTTATACTTTTATATATCTTGGAATAGTAAGTTTTATCGTTACTTTTCACTTTCTATTATGTAAATCATTAAAATATTTAGATCTTGCATGTTAAAAATTTGATTCTATTTAATATGTAATATTTACATTTTATTAGCATTTACAATTGCAAAATTACAGTATAGTGAACAAGTACAAATGTTACGAAAAAACAGCTCGGCTGTGATCGTGCGTTTAATCGAATCTACATGTGATTAAGGGTGACTATTTTCAATGTCAGTTAACTTTAATCGAAAGTTTAAACTTGTCGACAGAATTGCTAATATAAAAAATAAAAATATCGTCATTAAAAAAAAAATTCAAACCTTTTTCTTCTTTGATGACGTGCGATATTTAATTTATGTTGGTATTTTTGTCGACAAGTTTAAATCGTTGGTTAATGTTAATCGATATTAGAAATAGTCACTCTAAATAGGCGACTTACGTCGATAAGGTCAGACAGATCGTCAACGAAATATTTGTGTATCGTAGTATTTGATGCTTCCAAACACAGGAGATACTCATTTCGTGCCTTCAATGCCTTCAACTTCGCCTCCTGGCACTTACTCTTCCTCTGAAAAAGGAAATTCTGAATTAGATAATGATGCTTTATCTCGAATTGCGAACGGCGGAGGTCATTTCGTCTAATTAGTCTTATTGATCGATCATGTATTGTATTTAACAGCAGCACATTAATTGCCTCGCAAATAGCGGAATGAGTTCCGCTTTTCCGTATCGGCGTTTCCTTGTTTCATTTTTAATATCCTATTTAAAATTTTGAAGAGCGGAATTTATTTGGAAATATTTTAAATAAATCCCAGAGCGCGCCGGTCACCAGTGATTCCCATACAGACAACATATTAATATATTGATTACAAATAAAATATAGTAAAAAAAAAAAAAATAACAATTAACTTTAACCGAAAATTAATAAAATTAAAAAATTATTTTTATAAATAAAATATATTTTTTGGAAGACCAATATAATATAATCAATACAACAGACAATATAATATAATATAATCTCACAGATAATTCTATTGAAAAAATTTTTGATTCTAGATTTCACAATCGATAAAATTTGTATTTTTTTAATACAAATGCAAATAGCGGTATTGAGTACAACGTGTTGTCGATCTCTTTCTCTCCCCCCTTCCCCTCCCCCAAGTCTTTTGACTGGCTCCCCATGCTCTTCTCCCTACTGATGTCCCTTTTGCTTTTAGACTGTTTCAACCGTCTGTCTTACCACGCTTATAGCTATGTTGCAAGAGGACAGATTTTTCCATCGAACTGCAGGAGGTTGATTGTGTATCATTGTAGTGAAAATTACAATAATGAGCAAATTTAGGTTATTGATCAATAAGATCATAAATACGTTAGTAAATATGCTTACTTTTGTAATTTTCATTACATTGCATAATACACAATTGACCCCCAGCTGTTTGGATTTGGACGACGTACGAAAAAATGTATCCGAAAAGAAATATACGTCGTACGGATTTTCTAGCATTTTCTTTTTCGATGCCGCAAAGTGAAATTATACTCGGCTTATATCGGCTTGAAAAACGCTTTGTGTGTTCTCGCCTTCGTAGACATATAAATAATAAAACAAATTCTATTATCCCAGTAGAAAGCAAAGCATTTGATAATGTAAAAATATAAAACAATGACAGACACTGTAATATTTTTATTAAAATCTTTCAAAGTTGATCAATGTTTTATTAACAGTGTACAAAAATTATCATCGCGGTAAATCTGAATCGTGATAGATAAGCCGATTAATGGTCAATCCGCGCCGTTCGACCATTTAAATCCCTGCTTATTTTGCATATTTTATTTGTAGTCTAACATATGTTAGACTACAAATAAAATATGCAAAATAAGCAGGGATTTAAATGGTCGAACGGCGCGGATTGACCATTAATCGGCTTATCTATCACGATTCAGATTTACCGCGATGATAATTTTTGTACACTGTTAATAAAACATTGATCAACTTTGAAAGATTTTAATAAAAATATTACAGTGTCTGTCATTGTTTTATATTTTTACATTATCAAATGCTTTGCTTTCTACTGGGATAATAGAATTTGTTTTATTATTTATATGTCTACGAAGGCGAGAACACACAAAGCGTTTTTCAAGCCGATATAAGCCGAGTATAATTTCACTTTGCGGCATCGAAAAAGAAAATGCTAGAAAATCCGTACGACGTATATTTCTTTTCGGATACATTTTTTCGTACGTCGTCCAAATCCAAACAGCTGGGGGTCAATTGTGTATTATGCAATGTAATGAAAATTACAAAAGTAAGCATATTTACTAACGTATTTATGATCTTATTGATCAATAACCTAAATTTGCTCATTATTGTAATTTTCACTACAATGATACACAATCAACCTCCTGCAGTTCGATGGAAAAATCTGTCCTCTTGCAACATAGCTATAAGCGTGGTAAGACAGACGGTTGAAACAGTCTAAAAGCAAAAGGGACATCAGTAGGGAGAAGAGCATGGGGAGCCAGTCAAAAGACTTGGGGAGGGGAAAGGGGGGAGAGAAAGAGATCGACAACACGTTGTACTCAATACCGCTATTTGCATTTGTATTTAAAACAATGCAAATTTCATCGATTGTGAAATCTAGAATAAAACATTTTTTCAATAGAATTATCTGTGAGATATTGGTTTTCCAAAAATATATTTTATTTATAAAAAGAATTTTTTTAATTCTTATTAATTCTTCGGTTAAAGTTAATTGTTATTTTTTAATATTTCTACATATTTTATTTGTAATCAATATATCTCACAATGTGAGATAATTCGGCGAGAAACGGGAGTCTCAATCAACAAAACTGTCCCATCTCGAGGACAGTTTCATTGCGCCAAGAATGACGGGACGGAATGAGATAGGCAATTGATGGGCAGAACGTGAAAGACCGAGTTCTCGTCAGATTCCGCGAATATTGATACATACGTAATCTCCTTTCGATCTCGCTTCCAGAAATTGCCTGATCTTCTGAGGAACATAACATGGTAAATATGGCAATGTATACACACGTGGTGATCAAACTCGATGTGACGCAACAGTTGAACGGAATCCGGCACATCACGTTAGTTTGCGATACGAAGTAATCCACAATAGGTTTGTTCGCCTCGAATGCCCCAATATGCTCTAATCTATAGTATTACGTTATGTATACGTTATGTATTGCGTTATGTATACAGATTGGAGCGTACTGGAGCATATTGGGGCATGCAATGCGAACACCTCTTCTAAGATGTACTACGTGACAACGACTATATACGTAATGGCACTAAAAATATTAAAATTCTTCAAATGTAACAAAATATCAATAAAACAATATATAATACACAATATACAATCAGGAGAGATATTATTTATAAATAAATAATTCCTCAAGAATTTTCTTAAAAATTCGGGAATTTCTCATAACTTTCCTAAAGGGAAAATTTCTCGTAATCATCCTGAAAGTGTTTATTTGCAAAATATAAAACGGGATATTATATTTTACGACCTACCTTGTTAATTTCCTTTTCGACAAGCTTGTACTTCTTGCTGCGTACGAGTTTCTGGTGCAAGCGGCTGTCAGCGTTCGCCATCTCAAGTTTGCTGCGTTGCCGCTCGGCGACGCAGAGCTTTGTCTCCGCTTGTTTAGATTCAGCCTGGTAAGTTTGATAAGTCTTCATCGTTGCATGAAGCTCGTTTAGCACTCGGAGTATCTCTTCATGAATCTCATAGCCGATTTCTCGGCACTATAATATAAAAGAAATAATATATACTATAATTGTATAATATATAATTTTACAACTTTTTTTTATAGTTACCTCAACGCCGTCGGAAAGAATGACAGAATATGATAAATGATATAGCAAGTGATAAATGATATAGCAAGTGATATAAATGTACAAAACAAAAGAAAAAATTAAATTATTTTATTTCAAATCAATATGTTTACACATCGCGTAGCAATATCGTCGTATTGAAGAAGTATACGTATGATACTCACTCGTTTGTAAATTCGCTGTATATCTTCCATCATTTGATTGAGATGGCCCACGAGGTGGACGCTGTAGACCTCGGACAGAGCAGAATAGTCTTTGCTAAGGGACTTAGTCTCGTTCATGAGTTGCTGATAGAGATCAGAGAGAGAAAATAGGAGCCATTCCCGCCTGCACAAAACGATCAATAAAGATATGAAACGGGCGGCGGATGCGTAATATTGACATAATTACACGGTAATTAAATCGACGAATCGCTAACGAGGCGATAAAGATCGCATTATCATGTTGCGCGATCGAACGCATCGTCTCATTGTCATTATGTTTATACAATGTAATGTGAGAAAAATAATTATATTGAAATAATAATTAAAATAATTATAACCAGTAATAAATTTAATGACTTACTTATGTTTATGCTCCTTATTCTTCATTTGTGTAGCCAATTTGTCGAGATTCTTGCTGTGGTCCAGCTCCATTTCTGCTTTTTTGCGGTAGAAGTCCTGAAGCTCAGCTGCGAAGGCAACCTGCGCTTCCATTCGCATGTCGAGGCATTTTAGTTGTTCATTCAGCTGCAGCCGTATATCTAAAATTAAAGAACATATGTGAACATACAAACTCAGATTAGAGGTGAGAAGAAATTTTAATAGAGCGAGGAAAACTGGCTCTCTTCGATACACTGGAAAATTTTTAGAAGCTCCCAGCGAATCTACAGCAAAGCGATAATCGCTAAACGCAAAAGCTGGAAAGAATTGGGCTGTCTCAAGTTTCCAAATAGAGGATATATATATATATATATATATACATATATAC